GGCACCTCACAGTGAACCCTGGAGCCCACCTCGCTCCACTTCAGGGCCCCACCCCACAGCAGGCAGCAAGTCAGGACACTGTCCCAGCCCAGCCCAGCCCCGTGTGGTGGCCCCTCTGAAGCAGCCGGTGCCCACGTGTCCTCACACTGGTGGTAGGTGCTGGACAGGCTGAGTCCCAGGTGGGTGGGGCAGGAGGAAGAGAAGCTGCTGGGACTTTGTGCCCTCCCAGTTGTTCAGCTCTTGCCTGGTCTCTGTGGCCCCTCCAGGTAAGGGGCACCCCCTCCGACAGGTGGGTTCATGCCTCTTGCACCAAACTCACCTACTGGCCAGGCCTTCCCAAGCCCCCCCTGACCCTCCCTGACTCAGGGAGTCCCAAACCACATCGTGACAAGTACAGGTGGGAAAGGGGAGGGTGCTGACACTGAGGGAGCGGGTCAGCCTCCTCTGGGTCACCTGGGGCCTGAGGGAAGTGGGGAGTCCCCCGGGCCCCCCAGCGCCTAGTACCTGACATCCTGGACTCAGCATGATGGAACCTGCACAGTACCCACCAGTCACAAAGCCAGCCAATCCCACCCTCCACAAAGCCCTCTCCCGCCAGCCAGAAACACACTGACCCACAGGTCTTTTTTTTTTTTTAATATATCTTTATTGATTTCAGAGAGAGGAAAGGAGAGGGAGAGAGAGAGAAACGTCAATGATGAGTCATTGATCGGCTGCCTCCTGCACGCCCCCGACTGGGGATCGAGCCCACAACCCGGGCATGTGCCCTGACCGGGAATCGAACCCCAATCGCCTGGATCCTAGGTCGACACTCAACCGCTGAGCCACACCCGGCCGGGCGACCCACAGTTCTTTTAATAAACACTCGTGGAGAATCATTAAAAGGTGTGATAAAAAGAGCACCAGTAACATTACTCCTGAATTAAATTTATATAAACACTCTTCCATCTCTGGTGGACAGAAATGTAAGAGGTCTCTGGCATAAAAACATATTGCAAAGCTACAGTGGTTAAAATGTCATAGGCCGGCGAGTGACGGGACAGAACAAGTTCAGAAACAGAAGCACCGCACAAGGTGGCGTTTCAAATCGCAAGTCGTGGCTTCATTCATAAACGGGGGGAAGCCAACTGAAACAAAACATTAGGCTTCCTGGGTCATATTTTACATTACAATTAATGAGATGTAAATCAGTGACTTAAATGTAAGATGAAACCCACAGATGTACAGAAGGAAACATGGAAGAACTTTTATATAATCTGAGTGGGGAAGAAACACAAACCTCAGAAGCCGTGAAAGGCAGATTAGGGTCAACTACATAAAACCCACAGGAAAACACACGCGCAAAACCAGAAGACAAGTGGAGGAAACGTTTGCAATGTGCATGGAGAGCTCGTTTCTCAGTGAACAAAGAGCCCCTGCAATTTAATAAGAAGTAAACCAATAAGCCAGCAGGAAATGAGCAACGAGGGGACACACGATTTACTGAAAAGGGAAGCAAGTCTCACTCCCCAGAGAACAGCAACTGGACACAGGCTGCACTTCTCCATGTCGCCTGGAAGATCAAACTCCGGAGCTGAGAAGTACCAGACCTTCCTCTAGTGAAATAAGTCACTAGAGGGCCCATCAGATTTTAGGTGGCAGAAGAACTGGACCTTGAAGACAGGCCATCGTCCCGTCTGAGGGACAGAAAAAAGGGTGAAGAAAAACAAACAGGGTCTCAAAGACGAGTGGACACCACCAGCCAAACCGGCGCACACAACGGGGCCGAGCGGAGAGGAGACGGGGCAGGAAGACTCCTTCAAGAAATGGCCCAAACCTTCCACATTCTACATCCAGGAAGCTCAACAAATTCCAAGCAGGACACACACAAAAAGGTCCACACCTGGACCCTCCCAGGTAAACTGTCCACAGCAGGCAGCCTCCTGGAAGCAGCAGGAAAACCCGCCTCGTGGGCACAGCTTCCCCGTTACAGCGGCTTCTCATCAGGCCCATGAGGCCAGAATGGCACAGTCCAAGTGCTGAAAGAAAAACACTGTAAGTGAGAATTCTATATCCAGCAAAACTGTTCAAAAATGAAGGAAATTAGGTCCTTCCCAGACAAAAATGCAGAACCCACTGCCAGTAGACCTTCCCCACAAGAAAAAAGGTGCTGACAAAGGCAACCACACAGCCAGATACAAGACAGTATGAGTGTATTTTTGTTCGTAAATCTTCTCTTTTTTCTCTGATTTAACAGACAACTGCATAAAGCAATAATCACAAAACTGTGCTGATGGGCTCACAGTCCATAAAGATGTAACTTGCACAATAAAAACAAAGGCGCCCCACCGGCGCGGCTCAGTGGTTGAGCATCGGCCTCTATGGCCCAGAAATCACGGTTCGATTCCCAGTCAGGGCACGTGCCCAGGTTGCGGGTTCGACCTCCAGTTGGAGCCCTGCAGGAGGCAGCCGACTGATGACTCTCTAACCATCGATGCTTCTCTCTCCCTCTCCCTTCCTCTCTCTGAAATCAGTACAAACATTAAAATTTTTTTTTTTTTAAACCAGCACAAAGAAGCTGGGAGGGGACAGCTCCATCAGAGCTGTTTCTGTACATTCCTGAAACTACTCGGGTGCTGATTCAAACTAGACTGTATTATAAACACCCACTGAACACACAAGACGAAAGCAATGGGGGAATTAAGAGAAAAGCAGACACGCAGAAAACAAACAGAAAATGGCAGACACATGTCTCACCTTATCAGTGCATTACGGGCAAGGGGGTTAAACACACCACTCAAGCAGCAGAGCCTGGCTGAACAAATTAAAACAGGATCAACTGGATGCCATCTACAAGAAACTTTAGATTCAGAGGTAATATGAAAAATGGAAGGATAGAGAAAGATTCACCATGTAAACAACTAAAAACTGTACTAGTATCAGACAAGAGGCCTGAGACAGGTTGTTGCAGAGACACAGGAGGCCCGTTAGGAAGGGGCTGGTCCACCAGGAAGAAATGACAGCGAAACACGCAGGCCGACCTTGTTCTGCTGCACGTCACAGATGTGGTGCTTCATGCAAACTGAAGGCAGGGCCTCCCCCAGCACCAAGGCGATGCCTGGCCCTAGGGTGAGACGCACTGCACGGGGACGCCAACAGACACGCCCGGCAGCAGGACACGCCTCCTCGCGGGCACGCAGGGCGGCTCCAGCACAGAGCCGATGCTCGGCCACAAAACAAGTCTCAGTTTCAAAGCACTGGAGTCACACAGAACGTGTCCTTTGGCCCCATGGAATGAAATTTGAAATCAAATAACAGAAAATTTTGGGAAATTCCCAACTATGTGGAAATTAAGCACCAAACTCCTAAATAACTGGGAAAAAGAAGAAATCACCAGAGAAATTAGGAAATACTTAGAGCTAAGTAAAGATGAAAACAAAACATACCAAGCGTATGGGGTGAGATCTGACAGCTGCAAACACGACATTGAAAAGAAGGCAGATCTCAAGTCGACGCGCTGACTCCCACCTTCAGAGACTAGAGGAAGGAGACGAAACCCACACACGCCCAGGAGGGAAGATGCCGCGCGGGAGTCAGTGGGTGAGGGATGGGAAAGGAGCAAATCTAAAAGCCGGTCTTTGAACAGATCAGTAAAATGCTAAACCTTTCATCAGCCTGACCAAGAAAATAAAATTTAAAAAACCCTCAAAATTTCCAAGATCACTTCTTCTGCTCCTGCAGAAGTAAAGACACGATGAACAAACACTACGAACAACTGTCAACAACCGTAGACCAGACGAGAGGCAAGTTCCTAGCAATGCAGACTACGGACGCTGACTCGAAAAGGAAGGACATCTGCACAGACCCACGAGCACTGAATTAGTAATAAAACAAACACCAATGAAAACCTCCCACAGAACTAAGCCCAGGACCAGCCTCACTGGTGAACTCCCCACATGTTTAGAGAATTAACGCCAGCCCTTCATAAACTCCCCCAGAAACAGCCGAGGCAGGACTTCCCCACTCCGCCCACGAGGCCTGCGCGACACCAAAGCCAGACACGGCGCCACCAGAGAAACCCCACACTGACATCTTCCGTGAAAACAGATGCAAAACCCTCAAGAAAACACCAGCAAACTAGGCCAGTGGAAGGAGCAAAATACCAGTGAAGCAAAGGCAGGGACACAGGACAGGGTCACACGGCACGACCAGTGGGCTCTGCCCTGGGTGCAAGGCTGGCTCGGCAACGAGAAGCACTCGATGCGACAGTCCTGTCGCCAGGATCAAGGACAAAGCCCTGCGAGCATCTCAGTACGTGAGGGGCACCTGGCAAAGCCCAACACCCCTTCAGCGCAAATCCCCCAACAACCAGAAACAGAAGAGCACTACGGTGGCGCACAAAAGCCACAGACGAAACCCCACCCAGCACAGGTCACTCAGTGTGACCCCAAGACCAGGAAGGAGACAGCGCCCGCTCCCGCCTCCCGGTCAACACTGTGCTGGGGGTTCCAGCCAGGGCTCCTGGGCGACACAGAAGTCAAAGGAGCTCAAATTGGAAAGGAAGAAATAAAACATTTCTACTTGGAGATCACATGGTCATGTGCACAGGAAACCCTAAGGCGCATGCGTGCACACACACACAGGCACACACACAGGCACTCACACAGGCACACACAGAGGCAGAGGAACGCACACAGGCACGCACACACACACAGGCGCACACAGGCGCACACACAGGCACACACACACACAGGCACACACAGACACACACAGAGGCACGCACACATACACAGGCACACACAGGCGCACACACGTACACACAGGCACACACAGACACACACAGAGGCACGCACACATACACAGGCACACACAGGCGCACACACGTACACACAGGCACACCCAGGCACGCACACAGGCACACATGCATGCAAACACATGCACAGGCACACACATGCACACACGTGTGCACACACACTAAGGGAACTAAAGGGAGTTCAGCAAGGCTGCAAATACAAGACTAATGTACAGAGTCAGTTGCATTTCTGTACATTAGAAACAAACAATCCAAAAATGAAATTCAGAGAACAGTTACATTACAAATACACCAGGAATAATAAAGTACTTAGAATAATTTAACAAAAAAGTGCAAAACTTGTACACCGAAAGCTACACAACGCTGCAGAAGCAGAGACTGTCCAAACCCACGGGACAGCCCAGGCCCACGGACCAGACAACATCAAGATGACAACGCTCCCCAACGTGACACTCAGACTCAGTGTGATTCCTACTCAAACCTGCTCTTTATTGCAGAAACTGACCCTAAGACTCCCTTGGAAATAAAGGGACCCAGAATAGCCAAAACAGTCTTGAAGCAGAACAAAGTTGGGGGACTCATGCTCTCCAATTTCAAGCTTACCCCAAGGTGCCACCAACCACAACGCGGCGCCGGCAGAGAGCAGCCACTGGAATAGAAATGAGCCCAGAAATAAACTCACGTTTATGGTCAGCTGATGGTCAGCAAAGCTGCTGAGATAATTTGATGGGGAAAAGAATTATCTTTCAACAAATGGTGCTCATGCCACGGGACATCTGCACTCAAAAGAACGACACTGGAAGCCTGTCTCACACCATATAGGAAATTAACTCAACATGGATCAGCCTGGAACCTGCAAACCCTCAGGAGAAAACACAGGGGTAACCTCGTGGCCTGGGCTCAGGCAACGGTTGCTCAGATACGACACCAAAAGCATACACAGCAAAAGAAAACACGGAACGTCGTCAAAATGAACTGTTGTGAGTCAAAGGACACCACCAGGAAAGTGAAAAGACCAAACGGGAGAAAACCTGCAAACCAGGTGAAGGGTCTGCTATCCAAAATATATAAAGAACTCTTACGACTCAAAACAAACAGCCCAGTTAAAAATGAGCAGGTGACCAAGAAATGCTGAAGGCATTTCTCCAAAGACGACGTACAGACGGCCAATGAGCACATGAAAAAATGCTCAGCATCATCAGCATCAGGAAAACGCAATCAACCAGGGGAAGCACCTCTCCCACCAGGACGCCCCTGGAGACGCCCCGGGCACAGAGGCTGTGGGAAGGTCAGCGGTTCCCGGGAAGGTTAAGGAGCCACCACGGGACCCAGGGACTCTGCTCCTAGTTTACGCCCAGAGAAGTGAACTTGTCCACACAAACACTGGCACGCACAACAGCCAAATGTGCCCACCACCATGTCACTGGCGAGGGATAGACAAGGTGGCACCTCCCCAGGATGAGCGTGGTGAAGCAATGAAGGGGAGTGACACAGGACCTCAGAGCCACTGTGCTGTCATGAGCCAGACACGGAGGCTGTCGTGGCTCCAGTCAAGGCCGCGTCGGGACAGGGAAATCCAGAGACAGTAGCTCAGAGGTGCCCGGGGGTGGGCAGTGGCCACTAATGGGGACAGGCTGCCTTTCACAGTGATGAGAAGCTCTGCAGCCACGCAGGGTGGGGGGTGCCCGACACCGGGAACGTACGTGGTGCCACTGAATTGGAAGAAGAGTGAACATCACAGTATGTGAGTTACATCTTGATCAAGTCGTTTTCTAAGCAGCAGGGTACGGTGGTCCTCTGCACCCTGACGGAGCCGTCACCGAGGCCGTGAGCTGGAAACGAGACATGCGACAGGTGGACGGTCGCTTCCCTTTGTGTTTGCATTAAAACAGCCTTTACACAAAAATATGGATTTTCCCAGAGTTCCTGAGCGGCCAGCCCCCTGTAGAGGCGGAGGTGGGTGGGGGCCCCTTCCATTGCCTGAACCATGTCACGCAGTGTGCAGGCTCCGCAAGCTGCCCAATGGAGACATGGCTGCCGAGGTCACCCCTGGTGCTCCAGGGACCTCTTAGGCAGCCAGACCCATAACACAGGTGGCAGTGGCCCCCATGACCACACCCTCAGCATTTTAATCAGAATATGCCATTTCCTCCCATTTAACACAGTGGAGACGGCGGCTGCTGCCCAGTCCCCGCCCTCTCCCCTCGGGGACACTGGCAGAGCGGGAGGAGCCGAGGAGCAGAGGGGACCACAGCACAGCTGGCCCAGCCTCTAGCTCAGCGCGTAGTTAAACTGGTTTGCAAACTTCTCGTGTTTCTTCTGGTCCACCTGGTTCATGGCTGTGACCACCCTCTGCATGGCCGCCCTGCGGGGAGAGCAAAGCAAGATGTGACCAGGGAGGCCCAGGCCTGGCTGGGACGGGACGTCGGTCCTGGGCAGATGCTGCCCTAGGCCCCTCGCAGACTCCAGCTCACGAGGACACAGCTCAGAAACAGCGGCACCGGACACCACACTGGGGAGCCACGACCCAGAGGTGGCCTTGGCAATGCCGGACTGTGCTCCCGATGGGCACAGCCTGCCCGGCAATGGGGGGGGGATGCAGGCCACGCTGTCAGGAAGCTCGGGACTCAGGCTGTGCCTGGGCCTGCAGGGTGCTCCACGTCCAGACTCGCGGGGAGACACTTGAGAACAAGCAGCAAGAAGATGTGGACGAGCCCTGGGGGCTCCTGCCCGCTGACTGTGGGGAGGGTGGTGTGGACTCAGCAGGGCCTGTGCCCAGGAGGAAGCCATCCGGGCCACACAGCAGTGACTGCTGACACTGCCCAGGGGCTCTGCCGCCCTGCAAAGGGCCCAGTCACCCAGACTCCTGTAGGGAGACCTCCTGGCCGCACGGCTGCCCCGAGCAGTCAGCTATGGGCCCGACGGAGGACACAGGGAGACACGCTTCCGGGTCAGCACCCAGGGTGCTCTTTACCCCTGGTTAAACCCTAGGAAACCAGCCTCAAGCCCAGAGCCTGGGGCCAAGCCCTACAGGCTTGGACATGGAAGAACCAACAGACCAGGAATGCAAAGCCCATGGGGGCTCCATGTGGGTACCCAGGAAGCTGCCCTCCTGTTCAGCCCCACTCGGACCAGGGAGGCAGGAAGGCCGGCAAGGAGGGCAGGAAGGGCCTGCTCTGCCCAGTGCGCTGAGCTGAGCGCCTTCTGGGGGCCGAGTGAGAGGCCCCCTAATGGACCTACATGGTCTTGGCATAAATCTGAGGAGGGAGGCAACGGCCTTACATGGTTTCCTACACAAAAGCCCTAAATGCTTTCTGGCAATGCCTTGAACATGGGAGCCGCTGTCTGACCACCGCTGTAGGATGGGTGGTGGGGCTACTGGGCTGGAGGCCTTTCTACTAAGAACCTGCCCAGGCCCACCAGCCAGGTGGGGAGACGCCCTGACCAACCCCCCAGCCGGCTGTGAGAGCAGCACCCGGAATGTCCACTGTCCTGGTGGCACCACCGAGCTCTGCTGGGGCTGAGACCTGTGTGATGACCTGTCCTGGCCGACTTGGAGGTAACTGGCCTACCTGATGTCACCATGTGGACACCCCTGAGCACTGACCCTGAGGGGCCTCCAGGCCATGCCCAGCCCAGGCTAGTCGGACGAGGGGAGACACAGGCTGGCTCTGCATCAGCAGCCCCCCCTAAATAAGATGCTCATCCCTCACCACGGGGTAACCACTCCAGATTCCACCCAACAGCCTGCTTTCCCCCTCCACTGGCTGGGAATAACCATCCACTGGGGGGCCAGCGGTCACAGGAAGAAATGTGCAGCAGAGGAGGTACCAGGGGTCTCAGGACGGCTGGGAGCTTGGTCGGCTCCCCTCCAGCTCCCACAGGTCCAGGGGCTAGTGAGGGCTCTTACTTAGCAAAGACCTTCTTGGCGATGCGCGTGCGGGCGGTGTCCGCCTGCTGCTTCAGGTCAGTGAGTCCAGGGTGCCGCCTCTTCTTGCCTTTGCCTCTCCTGCCAACCCGGGACGAGCCAAGATCCACCCCTGTCGCCGCCTCCACGTCTCTCATAAACTCGGGGTCTTGCCAGTCTGCAAACAGACCTCGAGATTTCAGAAAACACCTGGCACCAACCCCAGCACCTCTCGTCCAAGCCCAACCTCCCCCTGACACAGCCACGCAGCTCACCCACGTGACAGAGGGGCAGGGAGGCTGGCTGGCCACTCCCTGGGGCTGAGGGCAAGGCAGAGCTCCTCCCACCACCTGCACCCAGGGCACTGCACCCACAAGGCCAGGAGAGCCAGGCTGCGGACAGTGCCACCCACAGGCTGCCTCCTAGACTCCAGGCTGGACTGTGCTCCATCCGGCCCCAAATCATGGCCTCTTGACCCACCTGCCGGCCAAGGGTGTGCAAGCAGGGGCGGCCACGGCCAAGGGTCAGGGCAGGCTGGCCTCTCTCTCTATTGGTCCAAAGGTAACCTGGCGACAGGTCTCAGCAGTGAGGGCTTAGTTCACCCAGACAGCCCTGCTCCCCCCATACCCTCCCTCACGGCCAGGCCTGGGGCAGCAGAAGTGGCGCAGGGGAAGCAACGTCACACAGCCGCAGATCAGGCCCGTGCCCACGACCAGGGCTGCCGAGAGCTCTAAGGGGGGCTCCAGCCAGGGCAGGGGGCAGGCATTGAGGTCAGAGGCCAAGGCACCAACTCAGGCCGTCAGTGCTACTTCCCGCCTGGATCCCTGCTCCTGCATCCCCAGCCATGTGGGGTCCATGAGACAAGGCGTCGGCCCAGCCAGCCGGCCTGGAGGGCCACACAAGTCAGCAACGAGAACACAGCACCCCTCCCCTGACACACCCAGACAGAGACCCTGGCTTGCAGGAGGTGTTGGACCCCCACCCCACCGCTGACACCCGCCACACAAACGGGAACCCATGGGGGGCAGTGAGTGGGCACGTCCAGCACCAGGCAAGGCCGCGCCTCAGACAGACAGATGGCCAGGCCTCCCCAAGTTGATTTTTTGAAGTGAAGGAAAACGGGCTGCAGAGCTCAGATACAGAGACGATTAATCCAAGATTAAGGAAAACTGTCTAAACAGTTTATCTCCCAGTAATAAGAAGGCGTCACAGTTTAGGAGCCCAGTGAATGGAGCAATTGTTTAAACACAACGGGAAGACGCAGCGCAGCTCGAGATGGAATGAGCATCTCAGTAAAATGAAGGAGCAATTTAAAAGCCTTTGAAGAAAATCAATAGATGCTGGGGCGCGCGGCCTTCCTGCGCGGACGCCCGAGCTCCGCTGCATTGTCACCGAGGTGAGCGCTGGGAAAGAAAATTGCCCCGCGAGCAGGGAGGCGGGATCGATACTGTAGTTAGTGAAGAGATGCTATTTCACATCTGACTGGCCAGCACCGGCCCAGCCGCGGCCCATACCTGTTGTTAACAAGTCACCGCGGGCTGGGGAGCCAGAGACTCTTCAGACTGACACAAAAAATAGGCACTTAATTTGCTCTGAGTGGGCACCACCAGGGAGCCTCGGCCTGCGGATTAGCAGGTCCCGACCTCCTGCCCCATCCAGGGCCTGGGCCCAGGCACTGACCGGGAGTCAGGCTAAATCTAATCTTCGTCTCTCAGGACAAAGGGAGACCCCCCACTAATGATGACCAACAGCCCAGCTGGGACCCCACACGCTGGCCAGCACTGCCCCAGACACAGCCGCCTTCTGCCTTCTCGGGTGCCTATGGGGAGAGGGCACCTGGTGGCCAGGCCCTCAGACTCCAGTCCACTGAGTGGCCCACGTGCTGCCCAGCCATGACGGCCGCTTCCACACACCACCACCCGGCCCTGCTGCTCAGGCCCCATTGGGGCGGAGAGGCTGCCAGCCCATTCCACGCGCCCCACACCACACCAACTCGCACCCCAGATAAGCTCCAAAATGGTCCTGAGCATGGCGTTTAGGTGGCTGCGACCCACTGGCCACTTGATCTGAAACTGGCCACTGCCAGGAAATGGGAGCCCTGACCCAGCGCCCTCCATGCCTGAGGCTCAGCTGTTCCAGTGCCCCTCGCCTCCTGCCCAGACACGCACACACACTACATGCATAACACACGCAGCACACAAACGCATGCGTGCACACACAACACACTTATAACACACACACATATCACATGCACAGAAAAAACACAATCTGCAGAGAGAGCAAGGCTTGGCGAGGGCCAGACCCCAGGCATTAGCAGCAGAAATGCGCCAGTTCCTCACTAGCACGGGCTCGCCCAATTAGCTTTTCTCGCCTTGATTTCTTCATCTGCTTAAAAAACATGATTCAGAACCCAGAACCCACCAAACCAGTGACAACAGGTGGTTTCCGGCAGTGGGTGTGCCCACGTCATGCATCAAATGTCCCTGAGACCCCACAGGCGGTGTGGTCCCCAGTGACCCAGCGGGAGCGGTAGGTGATCACACACAGATACACAGAGCCACCCCAGGGGCTCCTGGGGCCTGGCTGTTCCCCCCC